AAGAAATGGAGGATCCTTAAATGACTGAATTCAGTTCAGGGACAGGAAATGTATAAGGTAAGCCTAGAATATTCTATCATACTGGAAAGTAATGAAGTAATGTCATTTCGGAAAGATATCAAAGCCAACTTGAAGGGGATCTCACTGCCAAAATTTTTGAGCACCAAAAATATTGAAAAAAACTGAAATACTAACTATGCTAAAAATCATGTGTACATAAAGATAATAAAAAAAACTTAGTCATCTTTGTAGGCAGGTATGGTTCTGCCTATTATTCTGAAAGGAAGTAAATGAAAGGAAAGATACAATCATTTATGGACTATTTTTCAGGTAACCAAATAGTTGATAAGGGAAAATTCTCCTTTAGAGAAAATTCTAGTTAATAAATGCAGAGGGGGTGACAAAATTAGAAAATAATGAACAGAGGCAGGGATCAGACAAAACTTAGGTGAATGGAGAAGCCCTTAAAGAAAGAATGAGGCTGACAATAGCTGAACATAACACCATAAAAAAAGAGACAACCAGACATTATTTGCCTCCTGTCACAACAGGAAGTATTCTTACCACCTATGAAGTGTTCTTGTCAAGGTGCACATGAATCTGGTAAAGCCTCTACAACAGAGCTGTCTAACAGAACTTTCTGCAGTGATGGAAATGTTTTTATGTGCTATCCAATACATGGATATTGAGCACTTGGCCAGTGAGACTGACAAGCTGACTTTTAGATTTTAGTTAATTTTAACTCATTTAAATTCAGGTAGCCACATGTAGTTAGTGGCAACAACTAACCATTTGACATAGCAGCTATAGATCTGACTACTAACTTATAAAAAATATAGGGGATAAAGGCATATGTTAAGTGACAACATGTCTCACTGTATAATGTGTAGACCTTGTTTGCATCCTTGTTCAAACAAACCAACCGTGAAACAATCAGGGAAATGTGAACTGGATAATTCATAATATTAGTGATTACTGGGCAGCCCAGGTGGCTCAGCGGTTTAGCGCCTTCAGCCCAGGGCCTGATCCTGGAGACTGGGTATCGAGTCCCACATTGGGCTCCCTGCATGGAGCCTGCTTCTCCCTCTGCCTGTGTCTCTGCCTGTCTCTCTTTGTGTGTCTCTCATGAATAAATAAATAAATCTTTAAAAACAACAAAAACAAAAACAAAAACAAAAAAAACCCAATCCAGTAGAGGGGAGATGAGTAGTGGGAGGGTATATATGAAACAAGATTAGTTATATGTTGATAACTGTTGAAGCTGAGTGATAGGTATATGGGTATTCATCATAACATTCTATTTTTGTGATGTTTGAAAATTTCCATCACAAAATGTGTCAACAAATGAATAAATAAATAAAATCTGGAATTAAAACAACAGCAAATATGTATGTCCTATGGACTATTAAGTAACCCTGAGAAAGAAAGCAGTGGGCTTCAAATATTGTAAATGGAAAGATAGGTAAGATACATTAAATCAAGAAGGGAAGTCGAGGAATAATTGCTATACTTTGTTTATGTCCCCACAAAATTCCTGTTGAAATCTTAATCCCCATTGGTGACGGTATTAGTAAGGTGGGGCCTTTGGGAGGTGATTAGGTCAGAAAAATGGAGCCCTCATGAATGGAATTAGTGTGCTTATTAAAGGGATCCCACAGAGCTTTCCTGCCTCTTCTACCATGAGGAGACGACAAGAAGTCTGTGATTTGGAGAACTTCACCGGATCACGCTGACACCCTGATCTTGAAAATCTGGCCCCGGAAAGTGAGAAATAAACTTCTGTTGTTTATAAGCTACATAGTCTGTACTGTATTTTGTTACAACAGCCCAAACAGGCTAAGACAATAATATATAAAGTGTGACTCTATTTATGTAAACAATAAAAAAGATGCAGTTATGTGTATATGTTTGTAAGCAAATAGCTGCCCTTTTACTGTGCAAGTCCATTTCTTAGTATATATTTATGAAAGTACTTTTGGACATCCATAAGGATATATGTACAAATATTCTTACTGTATCACTCTGATCCAGCTGCCATAACAAAACACCACACATTGGGTGGCTTAAATAACAGAAATTTATTTCTTAGTTTTTGAGGCTGGGTTAGGGTGCTTGCTGATTCAGTTCCTGGAAAGAGTGCTCTTCTGGCTTGCAGATGGCTGCCTTCTCCTACTACTCACACAGCTGAGAGAGACAACAAACTCTGATGTCTCTTCCTCTTCTTTAAGGGCACCAGCCCTATAAAATTAAGGTTTATATTTATGACCTCATTTAACCTTTATCACTTCCTCATAGGCTCTGTCTCCAAATACAATCACATTGAGGGTTAGGGCTTCAACGTGAATTTTGGGGGGACATAGACATTCATTCCATAATATTTACTAAAACATTCTTTTTTTTAAGATTTTATTTATTTATTAATGAGAGACACACACACACACACAGAGAGAAAGAGAGAGAGGCAGAGACACAGGCAGAGGGAGAAGCAGGCTCCATGCAGGGAGCCTGACGTGGGACTCTATCCTGGGTCTCTAGGATCACACCCTGGACTGAAGGCGGCGCCAAACCGCTGAGCCACCTGGGCTCCCTAAAACATTATTTCTTATAGCAAAATTATGGAGATAATTTTAGTGTCCATCAATGGAGAAATGGACAGGTAAATTATAACATGTCCATATTATGTATAATGTAGGGGGGGAAATATGTTTTTAAGTAGTTTCCAACATGGGGCTTGAACTTACAACCCTGAGAAGAGATCAAGAGTCAGATGCTTAACTGACTAAGCCACTCTGGCACCCCTCCAAAATATATTCTTGAATAAAGCAAGCAAATTGAAAAAAATAACTTGAAGAATATATGAATCACCCACATTAAAAAAGATACAATAGACCCTCCTCTCTCCATATAGATAGATAGGTAGGTAGACAGTCTGGAAGGAAAAAAGTCACACACAACTATTAATGGTGACTAACTTTTGGGTATAGGAATAGGAATATGGAAAGAGAGGCACTTTTGCTTTTCCTCTTTGTATAGGCCTAAATAATTTTATTTTAAAAAGTGAGCATTCGTTACATTTGTAAATCTGAAAAAAAAATGCGATTTTTTAAAAACTGCTTGATCCCATGAGATAATATGTAGACTAGGTGCTTACGATATATAGAAAACAAATGTATTTGTTTATATAACATGAGATATGGTTCCCATATGGCTCAGGCTCTGTGCAGAGCTGCATCTGAATCATGGTCCAGAATCCAGAAAGAAGTACAAAGTAGTTCCAACTCATACTTCCATGGGCTCAAAGAATACTAACCTCTCTCATCCTCCACTCTCCTGTATCTCCTCCTAAGAGTTTCTCATGCCCAAATCTCTTTTGTTTGTTTTTTTTTAAGATTTTATTTTTAAGTAATCTCAAATCCTCTGCTGTAGTCCTTTCTCCCTTTTCTCTGCCTTTCTCAGCTCTTTACTTATATATCCTTTTAAGTCTTAGGATTTTCTCTAGCAATTGGCCATACTCTGCATCTCAAAAGATCCAAGAACTGGACTGGTGAAGACGCTTCTCCAGTTGGGGGTGGGGAACAGTTAGTTCCCATTCACATAGTAGTTTCACTGATTTCTCCAAGATAATTAGGGGAATCCTTAAAAATCCTCCAGTACCCAGGGGCTCCAGGGCAGGGGCATCCTCAGTCAAGATGTAGCTTGTTTAGAACTAATTTCCAGGCTCACTTCCAGTCTAATCGAGGTCAATGCATTTCTTGTAAATCATTTGGTTTCTTCACAGGCCAGAACAGTCTTAGCAATGTTAAAATTAGGAACTGCACTGCTTGGGGGCACCTGGGTGGCTCAGTGGTTGAGCGTCTGCCTTCGGCTCTGCATTGACTCCTGGGATGGAGTCCTGCATCAGGCTCCTCACAGGGAGCCTGCTTCTCCCTCTGCCTGTCTCTGCCTCTCTTTGTATCTCTCGTGAATTAACACACACACACACACACACACACACAAATTTATATATATATATATATATCTCCACAAAACTGCATTGCCTCTGAAACCGGACCCAGGCATATCCCTCCAAACTCTTAGAGGGATGTTAGCATTGGACTTTGAGCTAGAGCATCCTGTCCTATAGCTTCATTCATTTGGACACTTGGCCCGTTTCCTCGTCTCCAGACAAGGGATACTCACATCTGCCTCACGGGATCTTACACGGGGAAGTATTGTGGGTACGTGGCCCTTTTAAAATCTTGTGTCTGGAGAGATCAACCAGGCTTGGTTCCTGCCCTGCTCATTTGGAAGAGGCTCACTCAGTCCCCCTTAGGCCCCCAGATGACATAAAGATGAGGGATTTCAACTCGAGAGATGTTTACTCAGCAAGGAAAGAGCTATAAAAGCAGTTGAATAAGTCGGGACAGCAGCTACATCTTTTCTCCCCAACAAGGAATACTCAGTTATCCATGGTCTCTGGCACCTGAAGCTTTAACTTTGAGGAAACAATGAACCCTGAACCCGAGCCTTCAGGTGAGTCAAAATCCCGAGGTGGTTCTGCCTGCCTGGAGGCCTGAGAGGCACGAAGTGATGGGGGAAAGGTGAACCGAGCGGCTCTCTGGCTCTCTCACAACCGGCTCGCCCTCCACACCTAGCACAGCCAAGGGCTGCCGTCGCCATTTTGCCGGGTGGGCAGCGCAGGCTCCTGGCGCTGGGCTGGCGGGTCGGAGCGGGAGAGGACGTGGAAGGGTGGGAGGGGGGCAGCGCGCGCCACCAGGGGAGAGCGCGCGTGCGCACAGCGGCGGCGGCGGCGGCGGAGGGGTGGGGCCGGGGTACGAGTGCGCGTGCTCCATGGGAGCCCGCGAAGTACCTGGAGGAGGTGGGGGGCGAGGTAGAAAGGAGTGGAGTTGAAGAGCGCTTGCGCGGCAGGGCGACCGTCAGGGGAGGGGGGCTCCCGAGCACGCGCGCGGAGACGGGACTTGGAAAGCTCTCGCGAGATCTTCGCGGTGCTATATATGTGCGCAGGGAGCCCGCGTCCTTTCCCTGCTGTGATTCCGTCCTGCGCGGCTGTTCTGAGGAGCAGTAGTCGTGTGTCTCCGTCCGCCTTCTCTCCCACCTAAGTGCGTGCCACCGCCCCATGGAAGATTCGATGGACATGGACATGAGCCCCCTGCGGCCCCAGAACTATCTTTTTGGTAAGTGCAGGGGGGTTGGGGTGAGGCCGGGCAGGGCCTGGTGGCTTTGAGGTGGGGGGGGGGGGCGGGAATCCCACTGAGGCCTGGGCTGGGAGGGTAAGCCAGGCAAGCTGGAGGCCTGAGGGAGGGAAGAGAGCCGCCGAGGCCCTGCCCCGTAAGAGATGGGAGGTCGAGAGAGGAGCACGAAGCGGTGAAAGGAGGGGCGGCCTGAAGCCTTGGGCAGGAACGATCCCAGGCCCAGGGCCTGAGGTAACGTAGAACCGACCGGCTGAGGGTGCGGCTTTGCTTGGGGGCACGCGGTAGAGCCACGGGCTTGATTTTCTCTTGAGCTGTGTGGTTTCGTATAGGCTTGGAATTCTTGGCCGGCGTCTTTGATGCAGGGCCCCGGCTTGGTCCTGGAGGTTGAGGGAGTCCGCGGTGTGGGGCGTGGGCTTCCTCTCTGGGGGAAAGGGTATTTAGAGCCTGGCGTTGTCCTTAGGCCTCAAGAGTGCGGGGCTTCAGGGCCGAGTTTCAGCCCCGGTGCCTCGGCCCGTTGCGGGGGGAGGGGAGGCGCGGCCGGGCGTGAGGAGGCCGCAACCGCTGGGAGCACGTGGTTGCCACGTGGTTGGGGGAAGGAGGGGGTGTGGGCCCTACATCCGGGTCTCCCTGGTGGCTTGTCACCACGGAGCGTGGCATCCTGGGGCTTAATTGAAGCTGTTGGGCGGGAAATCTTAACTGAAGAGGCTGGTAGAGCCAAGATTCTGGAAGTCTTTGTTCAGTCCTTAACATCTGTGATGGCAGTTCTCCTTTATAGAGCACTTGTTAAAAAAAAATCTCACATTGATTGGTAGATTTAACCAGCCCACTTTGCACATGACTGACGCTCAGAACTGAAGGCTTGAGGCTTAACGAGGGCTTGTACTCGTAGGTAACTAGTGGGTAGATCTAAACCAAGACCCTTGCCTCTAGAACTGGTGCGTTGATTTTTGGAGGGAGGCTGGGGGAAACCGCCTTCTTGTGGCGTTGAGCAAACCGCTTTTTTGAAAAGATGAGAAATTTGTGTGGGGTTCAGTAAGAGCTGGTACTGTTTTTGGAATCTTCTCCTCCCCTCTCCAGAAAGCAGTTACATACATAGTAGAGAGGCCAGCTTTGGTTTTCAATCTTAGTGAAATTGTCAGAAGCCCTATCTTTGTCAGACTTTGAAGTAAGTGCAAATCCTGCCCCCACGTTTCTTTATATACCATGCTGAGATTTGTTAATTGAGGTAACATTTAGGCATCTATGTACCAGTAACAGTTAGAGGGCAATTAAATGGAGTCCTTTAATTAAAAGGTTATTCTGATGGTACTTGAAACGACTTGCCTATTGATGGGATGGGAGTGGGTAACTTACACCATATGTTAAGGCTTTTATTCCTAGTCCTTTTGAATTGCTAGGGTTTCTGGTCAATTCATACTGTATTTTTGTGTTAATCTTTTCTACGGGAAATATCCCTAGGATATATCTATTCTTAAACATAATTTCTAAGCATAATGTACATCATTTCTGTTAACTTCAAAGATGGAATATTGACCCCATCTAGCAAGTTTTGGGTCTTTTACATCTGTAGTTTATGTCCTGTGAATACAGGCTGTTCTTGTAGGTGTTTGTGTAACCATTCTCATTTCTAAATTGGTCACTTCTCTTTCTTAGGTAGGTAATTAGTCCTTTTTAAAGTTTATCGATATTGTACATTAGACTTAGTTTCAGATACTGCCAGATCCGGATTTACTAGATCTTTGAGCTTGTTTCTATCTAAAAACAACTAGAGTGTAGTTGAAAATGAAATAGTATAGTTGGAAAGTGGAATTTATAAAGCCCTGTATAAATGTTATGTGATGTTTCTAGACATTGCTGTTCAAGAAATCCAGGAAGAGCTACCTCTGCATTGCCTACTGATAGCTAGAATAGTGGGAAACTTGGTCACAAATTAACTGTTACCTTTCGGTTATCCTCACTTAAGTTTCAGTGTCATTTTTCTCTGTTGCTTTTTTCCCTTGATTTACAGGTTGTGAACTAAAGGCTGACAAAGATTACCACTTTAAGGTGGATAATGATGAAAATGAGCACCAGTTATCTTTAAGAACGGTACTGAAACTTTCCAAAATAAACTACTTGACCTTTCTTGATTCCAGCCTATTCCTATTTGTGTGACTTAACATTTTCATAGTAGTATTGTTTATAACTGAGTGTTATAAATACGTGATCATGTACCTGTACTATAAAACTTGGCATCTTTACTTCTCATTTGGTAATGTGAAGTTGAGTCACACTACTGTTCAACTTTCCATATTTGTGTACTTTGCCTCTCTGGCTGCATTAGAAAAAGCCCTTTAGGGCAGTGATAAATCTTTTTTTTTTTTTTTTTTTTTTTTGTCCATAGTGGGGCCTGCAGCCTTACTGCCTGACTTAGAATAGGTGGACAGTAGATGTTAGGTGGTCCATCCTGTGGGTAGCAGATAAAACTATGACATTAAATATATTTGCTGCGTTTGTTCGAATGAAAAATTGATTGGCAAGGCAACCTAAAACTTGAAGACGACATTGTGCACCGATAAGTTTTCTGTTAGTGGTAATAATAGGTTTATAATTGCTTAGTTTTTTCTTAGAAGGCAAATTTTGGGGGGATTGTAAAATAGGAAGTTAATTTAAAGTATTTTTGTTCACAGGTAAGTTTGGGAGCTGGTGCAAAGGATGAATTGCACATTGTTGAAGCAGAGGCAATGAATTATGAAGGCAGTCCAATTAAAGTCACTCTGGCAACTTTGAAAATGTCTGTACAGCCAACGGTAAGGGCACTGAGACTTTTGGATTTTATGTCAGGGTCTAATTCTATTGTATTAAGGTAGGTGTTGTTTAGGTTACACCAAGGACTTAAAAGGGGGAATTTCCTTTGTTTTTTTTGTTTTTTTTTTTAGTAGCAGCTGCATCACTGTGGGGTTGAATGATCAACTCTTGAACATATTGGTTTGCTATTTGTCAGAGGTGCTAAAACAGGTTTGCTGGTTGGTTCATTTGGTTTATGAATTTGCCTGTAATGCCTAACACAAACATTTTTCTAGGTCTCTTATGAACAGGTTTTTATACCAAACATTAACCTTAAAAGTTTATCATTTTTAGGTGTCCCTTGGGGGCTTTGAAATAACACCACCTGTGGTCTTACGGTTGAAGTGTGGTTCCGGTCCTGTGCATATTAGTGGACAGCACTTAGTAGGTATGTTATTAGGTATTATGCTATTTATTCTCTTCTTTGTTCCCAATTTGAACTTTGTAATGTGTGCTAGATCTACTGTCTTTATAATTGTTTAAATGGAGATTATCACTAGAAAAGGTTTCGTTTTGTTTTTTTGAAAACCGAGTAGGAGTCCTGAAAATTCCTTTTTAAAAAATTTCTGTTCCCTATTTGCTTTTTTTCTAGTAGAATCTTCGTTTTTAAATGCTCATTATTGTATGCTATGCCCTTTTTTTCCTGAGTTCTTGCTTATTGGTTGAGTTCTAGTAGTGGCTAATAAATAAACTTGTTCTAGCTGTAGAGGAAGATGCAGAGTCAGAAGATGAAGAAGAAGAGGATGTGAAACTTCTTAGTATATCTGGAAAGCGTTCTGCCCCTGGAAGTGGTAGCAAGGTTCCACAGGTATAGGTTATCTTATCCTGGCCTTTAGTTTTGGTGATTAAGATCAGCACTTGTTCATGGGTACATACATGTACGTATTTTTATATGAACTTTTTTTTTTTTAAGAAAAAAGTAAAACTTGCTGCTGATGAAGACGATGATGACGACGATGATGATGACGACGATGATGAAGAGTAAGTGTGATCTTAGCTTGACAGTTGTATGGAGAGTAGTTTATGAAAATTATAATCATCTTTGAAATTAAGCAATACTTAAAAAGGGTAAATGGTCATTGGCTGTTACTTTGAATTAAATTAGCTGAATTAAAAAATGCTGGCATTTAAGAGCCTTTAAAATGCACCGTGGGACAGCTGGGTAGCTCATAAAATCTTTTAAAAAAAATTTTAAAATGTGGTGTGTTGCAAATTTTCAAAAGAATATGTGGTGCTTCCCAAATGTATTTGACTAGATTACTTTTTTTCCTGAGGAAGATTTAATAAACACGTGATGACAAGTCTGCTGGTAAGATTTTTTACTAAACAGTATATAAGTGATCTGGGTAGAAAGAATCCAAATGGCTTCAGCGACATTTCATTTTGTAAGTTGTCACTTAATGATTTTTTTATCCCACAAAGGATTTTGGCTAAGAGTTTTTTGGTCCTTACTGATAAAATGAGATTCTGAAAGATGGAAGATTTTCATGAAGGGTTTAAGATTTTTTTTTGGAAATGATTTGATAGTTTTATTAAACTTGATCAGGCTAAGGTAAATTTAAATGCATACTACACAATAAAGTGCTGTTTATTTATTCATGAGAGAGAGGCAGATGGGGGGAGAAGCAGGCTCCCCGCTGAGTAGAAAGCCTGACTGGAGGCCCGATCCCAGTGTCCTGCCTGGGATCTTGACCTGAGCAGAAAGCAGATGCTTAACTTACTGAGGCACCCAACTACCCCTTTACTTGTCTTGATATACTGAGTTGTCAGAAAACAAAAAAGCTCTTACAAGTTCCTTTTCAGAAAGAATTCACAAATACTTTCTCCCGTTCTGTGGGTTGTGTTTTCACTTGAGTGTGTAATCCTTTGCACAAAAGTTTTTAGTCATCCAGTGTCATATTAACTTAATTTTTTATGTTTTTAATGATTTATGGAGTCCAGTTTGTTTATTTTGATGCTTGTGTGCTTTTGGTGTTAAAATAAGCCATTGCCAAATCTTCTGAAACCTTTATTATATGTCTTATATTTAAATCTTCGATCCATCTTGAATCCGTTTTTGTATATGGTATGAAGTTGGGGACAAACCTAAATTCTGTGTGTGGATTTCTAGTTGTCCCAGCACCGTTTATTAGACATCTTTCACCATTGGATGACAGTACTGTGTCGTTGAGAATCATTACGATGAATTATGGGTTTGTTTCTGGACTCTTTGGTTTTATTGATAAGTATCCTTAGGTGCTCATAAAACAGTCTTGATTTCTGTTGCTTTGTAATTTTTGTGGGTTTCTTTTGAAAACACTAAGTGCATTCTCCAATTTTGTTACTTTTTCAAGATTGTTTTTGGCTGCTTTTGGGTTCTTTGAATTTTAATACAAATTGTAGAATCAATGTCTACAGAGAACCTGGGACTGTTAGGGGTTGTGATGAATCGTAGATTAATTTGGAGATTTGCCACCTTAGAATATTTCTCCTGATCTGTGAACATGTGTTTCTGTTTAGTTTTTTTAAACCACAACTTCCATTTTTAAGTTTTTTTATCCACTTTAGTTGTAAGAAAAATACAATATTATCTTAACCATTTTTGAAGTGTACAGTTGAGGAGTGTTAATTATATTGTTTAATAGATCCTAAAGTCTTTTCATCTATTAATACTGAAAATTTACTTAACTGAATGAAAACTCCTTTCCACCATTCTCCAACCCTTGGCTACCACCAATCTCCTTTTGGGTTCTATAGAGTAAAAGATTATTTTTGATGCCTCATTAAGTATCAAGTGGGATCATACACTATGTTTGTCTTTTCCATGACTGTCATGTTTGTTAGTATGTTCTCTTTTTTTATTTTTTATTTTTTTTTAATTTTTAATTTTTATTTTTTATGTTAGTATGTTCTCAAGGTTCTTCCATGTGACAGGATTTCCTTTAAAACTGAATATTCTAGGGGCATCCCAAGTGGCTCAGTCTATTGTGTCCGACTCTTGATTTCACCTTAGGTTATGATCCTCAGAGTCCTGTGATAGAACCCTGCGTCAGGCTCTTTGCTCAGCGGAGGAAATCTCCTTGGGAGTCTCTCATTCTAAAATCTTTTTTAAAAATCGCAATATTCTAATAACTATCCAAAAATACTGAATATTTCCTTAAATATATAAATGATAGTTTTCTTAGCATTTGTTAGTAGATATTTAGGTTGCTTCCACCTCTTGGAAATTGTGAATAGTGTTGTGAAGATGAACATGCAAATAGCTCTTTGAGACCCTTGCTTCCAATTCTTTTTGTCAATCCTCAAGAGTTTGAAATTCTTAACATCTTGATTGACTAAACTTGGAGTTCCATCCAATTTTTACATAGGCTTATGAGTGCATTGGATCAGTAATAGTGACTCCTTGTGAGGAAAAATTAGGGACACAAATCATGAGATTTCTAACTCTGGGAAACAGGGTTGTAGAAGAGAAGATGGGTGGGGGGATAGGGTAATTGGGTGATGGGCACTTGATGGGATGAGCACTGAGTGTTCCATGTTGGCAAATCGAACTTAAATTAAAAATTTTTTAAAAATAATGACTCATTTCATTTGTAGTGATGATGATGATGATTTTGATGATGAGGAAGCTGAAGAAAAGGCTCCAGTAAAGAAAGTAAGTACAGCACAATGGTACAAGGCTGGCAGAAATAGCTAGTAACAGAAATGGAAATTTTTTAGTGCTTTGTTTTGTAGTTAATGAAAGCTGGTTTGGGAGGAGTTGTTGATCTTGTACTTAAATTAGTCCTGAATAGGGTTTTCATCTTAAAAACTTTCCTAATAGTGATCTATTTTCTTTATCCTTGTGGTCTTCTCCCACTTTCATAGCCCTTAATACCTTTTGTCAGAATGATTGTTTTGTCTTACCCTGCCTGCTTTTGTTTAAGTGGTTTGGGGCTGTTTTACTTGGACTCATATGTCTGTTATGTGTAGGAGAGCATTGATTAAGATAATTTCTAATTGCAGTCTATACGAGATACTCCAGCCAAAAATGCACAAAAATCAAACCAGAATGGAAAAGACTCAAAACCATCAACACCAAGAACAAAAGTAAGTGGCATACACATAAACCACAACCTTAACTGTGAAGTAGTTAGAAGTTTTAATTGATATCTTAAAGTGCTAAAGTGTGCTTGTTGGTGTGCTCGCTTCGGTGGCATATATACTAAAATTGGAACAATACAGAGAAGATTAGCATGGTGCCTGTGCAAGGATGATATGCAAATTCATGAAGCAGTCCATATTTTTGAAGGACAATCATACGGTTTCGCTCATATGAGGAATATAAAAAATAATGAAAGGGATTATAGGGGAAAGGAGAGAAAGTAAGTGGGAAATATCACGGTCACAAAACATGAAACTCCTAACTTTGGGGAACTACCAAGGACTTGGTGACAGGCACTGAGGGGGGGCACTTGAGGGGATACGCACTGGGTATTATTATACTATATGTTGGTAAATCAAGCTCCAATAAAAAATACATATATAAAACATTGTGTTTGTTGGTGGAGGATCCATCCTCTAGTGGAGGATGCCAACAAAAATTTTTTTATTGCACTATAAACAGTTGTGTCCTGTAAGGAGTTTTTTAAAGTATTTTATGGCATAGAGTTTTCTCAACTCTGGCTGTGTACTAGAATCTAACAACTTAAAAGAGCCACAGTACCCCAGCTTGGAGATTATTAGAAGCTATGGGATGGGCCTAAGGCCTGTCAAGGTACATTTACTTGCTTCATTCTTGGGGCCTTCTGGTTTCAATTTTGATGGTGTACAAGTGTAGAACTGATCTGATCTGATGTTGAATATAAAAAGCAAGTTCAAACTATTCTTGTTTTTATTCAGGAATGATATATTAAGAATAAGAAACAATTGTTGAGATGTTTATTTAAAACAACTGAACTCTTTTTTACAAGGAAGGATTGTAAATAAGAATAATTTTCTTGAGAAAATCCAGGTAGGTAGGATGGGTCGTAAGAGACACCCCTTTATGTCCTTTTGAAACTTAATCTTTTTTTTTTTCAGGGTCAAGAATCTTTCAAAAAACAGGAAAAGACTCCCAAAACACCGAAAGGACCTAGTTCTGTAGAAGACATTAAAGCAAAAATGCAAGCAAGTATAGAAAAAGTGAGTATAAAAGGATCTTAAAACCTAGATGGGTTTTCTTATTCCCTCTTTTTTTTTTTTTTTTTTAAGATTTTATTTATTCTTGAGAGACAGAGGCAGTCACAGGCAGAAGGAAGAACAGGCTCCATGCAGGGAGCCAGCCCGATGTGGGACTGTATCCTGGGATCACACCCTGAGCCGAAGCAAACACTCAACCACTGAGCCACCCAGGCGTCCTGTCCCTCCTCTTTTAGAGTAATACCATTGTGATGGCTTTGGAACTAGATTGTTCCTTACTTTTTTAATCTTGATATACCTGCCCCTTTTGTACTATGCTTTTCCTTTTTTAGAAACATTGTTTTTTGCATTCATTTCTCACCTTGACATTTTTGTGTGTGTGTGTGTACTTGAAGTTACATATATATACTTTTTTTTTTATATAAAAGAAAGACCAGTAAGTTGGTTTTAAGATTCATTCTGACCTTAGATGTTAAAAGGAGTTCAATGAGAGTGGTTTTTTTTTTTAAGTTGTAAGATGCTATAGAACCAGCAGAGGGCGTTTGAGTCTTCTATAAATTTACAGGCTGTGGAAATTGCTTGGTTGCTGATGGGTTAGTTACAATAATTATTCATGACTGATTTTAGTCAAACATTTTCCAACAAATTTGAATCTTTATTTGTCCCCCCCCCCTTTTTTTTAAGATTTATTTATTTATTTATGATAGAAAGAGAGGCAGAGAGGCAGCGACACAGGAGGAGGGAGAAGCAGGCTCCATGCCGGGAGCCTGACGTGGGACTCGATTCTGGGACTCCAGGATCACGCCCTGGGCCAAAGGCAGGCGCTAAACCGCTGAGCCACCCAGGGATCCCTTTATTTGCTCTTTATTCCAAGATATTACCAGTTATATATGGTAATATCTTGAATCTCTGAATGCTTATATTTAGTTGCCATTTTGTCTTAAATAATGGAAATGTGAGAAGAAATTAGCTCTCTTCCTGCTACTTACTTGATTGAGAAACTAAACTTACTAAACCTAGTAAACTTGGACTTCAGAGTAAAGGTGGGATGGTGAGGAAAAGTTGCTGACTCTTTGTTTCCCCATGTTTTTCCTTTGCTTTATAAGTTTACCTGGTTTCAGTAAATTTTTTTTGTGCAGTGATGAGTCAGTTGGGAAACTTTTAGAACCAAAATGTGTTTGTTGGTTTTTGCTTTAGTACTACTGTATACCTTTCTAGCTTCTGGTATCACTGTTTTATTTTTATCCCTTGCATACAATGCTAAAATGACATTTTTTAGATCCCCCCCCCCCATTTTAATATGGTCCTATCTCCTTGGTTTAATTACAGGCGAATTGAACAGTCCTGGGCACTACTGGTAAAATAAACCCAAAGCTGGGGAGAGAGGAAAAGGAGAGACAAATATAGTCCATACTGACTGTCATCAACAATCCAGACTGAAGTCTCAAATCCCTTTCCTGTTTTGCCACCCACCCACACCCCCTTCCAGGCTGGAAGCAATCTCATTCTTGATCTCCTAAAGCACTTTTCTTTTGACTGCTGTGATTCAGTGACCCTTTACACTTTGCTTTCTATGATTTGCGCATTTGCTTTACCTCTTTGGCCATGTTTTAATTGCCTTTGTGTCTCCCTAGCTGCTCAATAAATATTTGAATGAATCAAATAAGAATGTATGTGACGATAATTTAAAAATGGAATTTACAGTGAGGTTTATTTTCTAGATTACAGTGGCAATTTAAGGATCTTAACCATACTTCTGATCTTAACCTATTTTGTGCCTTGATTCCTTTGGCATTCTGAAACCTTGATCTTGTTAAAATGCATAGAAGATTTAGGTTACAAGGAAAATTAAAATTTAGTTACAAAAAGAGGAAACAAAAGGTTTATAATTAGTATTAAGATCATTCAAAAGTAGTGATGAATATGAACACATCAAGATATTTGCAGTAATTGCAGCATTTGAAAGTGTTTGGTGATGAACTATTTTGAAAATGAGTTGTATTAATAATGTTGTGATTTCTTCCCTGTGTCCATAATTGAAGGAGGTGCCAAGTTTTGGTTAGTGAAATGTGGGACTAATTTTTCCCCCCATTCGACTTCATATATGCCCTGAACTGACTGACTCCCAGGTTACGGTTGTGCTGGATCTAGGTTCTTAAGTATTAAGTGATTAAGTAATTTTGATTCTTTGTATATGGTACTCAAAAAGGGGTATAAATTTGTATTTGGTTCTGGGTGCTATATAGTAGAGCAAGCAGTCAAGTTGACATGTTTGAGTTCCTGAAGAGTATCAACTGTAGCTTATGTTCTGTGTTTTTAGAGTGGTTTGAGAGAATTTAAAACTAATGAACTTATTTATAGGAGTACTATGAAAGACCTAGGTCCCCCCCCTTTTTTATTTAAAATCCAGTTAATATATGGTTTATTAGTTTCAGAGGTAGAGCTCAGTGATTAGTCTTAGATAATACCTAGTGCTCATTACATCACGTGCCCTCCTTTTTTTTTTTTTTTAAGATTTTATTTATTCCGAGACACAGGCAGAGGGAGAAGCAGGCTCCATGCAGGGAGCCCGATGTGGGACTCGATCCCGGGTCTCCAGGATCACACGCCAGGCTGCAGGCGACACCAAACTGCTGCGCCACCGGGGCTGCCCTCACGTGCCCTCCTTAATGAAAAACCTAGGTTTTATTTTTTTTATTCTTATTTACTTATTTATTTAAAGATTTTATCTTATTCATGAGAGAGCGAGAGAGGCAGAGACACAGGCAGAGGGAGAAGCAGGCTCCATGCAGGGAGCCCCACATGGGACTCAATCCTGGGACTCCAGGATCACGACCTGAGCTGAAGGCAGCGCTAAACTGCTGAGCCACCCAGGCTGCCCAAGACCTAGTTTTTAAATATTGTTACCAGTAGGTGTTTCTGGGCCTAAAACCAAAGTATTAAAATGAAGAGTTGAAGGGACAAAGAGTGAACCAATGATCCACGTAATAGCATGAAAATCTTTGAGGAGTTTCATAGTATCTCAAAAACAGTATTTCTGTACTTAACATTATTAATGCTTTTGTTTCCTAGGGTGGTTCTCTTCCCAAAGTGGAAGCCAAGTTCATCAATTATGTGAAGAATTGCTTCCGGATGACTGACCAAGAGGTAACTGAATTTTTAGGAGATGTGACTAAATCCTAATTTTTTGTGACTTATTCATGATTTTTAGTTTAAGTGTTGGCTTCTTTTAAAAGGTTCCTAACCACAAATAATACTTCAGATTAAATACCTGGAAACTTGTAAGAATTTGAGAAGATAACACTAGTACATTTTTCTCCGGTTTTTCTATAAAATTATCTCTTGGTTACTGAATTCACTTTACTTTTGGTACTCTGTTGGCAAGGAAGTCATCTGATTTCCTTGCTGCTCCATTTGAGTACTTGTAGTCTGGACTTCTGCTTTCTTTTGAGTTGGCAGAGAAGACCATTTTCTCTGTAGGTCTTACAGGAAGCACATTTTGCTGAAAACAACCTGAGGTATAAAATCTGGAAGCAAGAAGCCAAATTATAGTAAATATTCAAATATTAGCTTGAGTCAGCTGTTGAATTTTATATTTCTTAAATGCTATTTTCTCAATAGAAAAAAAATCATTTACTTTTATGGTCGTATTTATGGTTGCTGACTCAGATTGTAAAGGAAAATGTAAAAACAAGGTAAGGTTGCAAAGGCACCTTTGTATATGTAGAACATTCTGTGTTAAATGGTTTTTGTCAAGAATACCTATAACTTTTTTTCAGTATGAGCTACTTTTCTGCCAGTTACCTAGTACTTACATGACTTAAATGGCAGCACTACTTTGGTCCAGTTTGAAGTGTTTCAGCACTGCTTACTATTATTGGGGAGTTCAGCCTTTATTGATATGGCTGTGAGATGAAATTCAATTTTACACTCTTCTGTAAGAGACTGTTCTGTTCTGTTTGTGTGTATCAAACCCCAAAATGCAAGTGTGAATTCTGTGAAGTTTCTGAACAGTAGACATTTGTTAAACAAAAATCCTTGTGAAACCAGAGTACGCAATTGTTGCAATTGTTCTGTATTGCAAATAGTGGAAAGTAAGATGTGAATCTGCATTTACTAACAAGGAAGTATAAGACAAATGATTTCTCCCAGTTAGTGTCAAAGACCATGGTAAAATAAGATCTGTGGTTAAGAATTTAGGGAAAGATAATCAAAGTTGTGAAGGTATTAGTCTTGCAGCTGAAATGACTGAACTCATTGCTATCAGAAGTATGTTCTGAGTCTAAAACTGAAAGCCTATTTTCAAGTGCAAGGATGAAATACTAAGGAATAGTTCAGTTTACTATTACAGATATTCAAACTGTAAATGCCTCATGTTTTTTTGACATACCCCTACAGATAACAGGTCACAATGTATAAAATTTTTCATTGCTTATGCAGTTTTTCTTGTGAAAACTGCTTATGGGGATTTGGCTAGTAAAAACCAATTTAAAGTGGTTAACTAATAAAATAAATTGAGACTGTCATTTGAAGAATGATTCTTACATGGATGTTAATACTAGCATGAGAACAAGTTACAGATTTCATGTGTTAAAGGACAAAACAAGGATGTTCTTTTTGTCAGTTGACATTTTGAATCCATAGATTTTTATTTTATTTATTTTATTTTTTTTATTTATGATAGTCACACACACAGAGAGAGAGGCAGAGGGAGAAGCAGGCTCCATGCACCGGGAGCCCGACATGGGACTCGATCCCGGGTCTCCAGGATTGCGTCCTGGGCCAAAGGCAGGCGCTAAACCACTGTGCCACCCAGGGTTCCCTGAATCCTTAGATTTTAAGAATGAAGAGCAGATTATGTCTTGGAAGATGGGTGTTAAGTGCTTTAACAAATCAGATAAGAGCAAATCTGAGTAGTTAATCTGGGTTTAAGTAGTTTTTAGTATGTGTTCCATAATCTTAGATAAATGTATTTAACTGTGTGTTCTATATTTTTATGTGCTAAATCTGGCAGCTCTAAAGTATAGGACATTGAGGCAACATTTGGCCAAACTGGCCTCACCTCTTCCATTTTGTTTAAGCTGTTAAATACATACATACTAGTACCTCTGCCTACAAAGATTGACATGTTATGCTTGATTTGAGGTTATTGAAATTAAATTCTGAGTATACATTTCCTTGAAATTAGTTCTTAATTATCTAGAGTGAACCTTTTTGGTGGTAGGATGAAAGATAGATACATTGAACTGTACAAAGAGCTGTGGTTTAATTTATTGGTGTCTATGAAGTGTTGTGGTTCTTTAACCACATTTTTTTTTTTTTTTCCAGGCTATTCAAGATCTCTGGCAGTGGAGGAAGTCTCTTTAAGAAAATAGTTTAAACAGTTTGTTAAAATTTTCCGTCTTCTTTCATTTCTGTAACAGTTGATATCTGGCTGTCCTTTTTATAATGCAGAGTGAGAACTTTCCCTACCGTGTCTGATAAATGTTGTCCAGGTTCCATTGCCAAGAATGTGTTGTCCAAAATGCCTGTTTAGTTTTTAAAGATGGAACTCCACCCTTTGCTTGGTTTTAAGTATGTATGGAATGTTATGATAGGACATAGTAGTAGTGGTGGTCAGACAAATGGAAATGGTGGGGAGACAAAAATATACATGTGAAATAAACTCAGTATTTTAATAAAGTAGCACTGTTTCTCTTTCTATTATTCTTCTTATACTTTGTCAAAGAAATAAATGTACTTAGTTAAAAGTATCAAATTAATACCCTGAAATCCCGAGAAACAGTTCCTGCCCTCCCCCTCCAAATAGTTGTGCTTCTCAGTAGTGCTTCTCTATTTTTCATTTAATGCTTAAAAGTTTCCTACCTCTTGATAACAGTGATAATTATGACCATGCAAGTGTGTTTTCAGATGTTTAGTCAGACCACCTATCCACTTAAACCCAGTTTTTACTGGTAAAATCTGGCATGTTGAAGACCTTGCAGCTGCTTTTCTCAACATGGGCTCTTCATCTGAACCAGAACAGAAAAATGAATTCTGTTGACTGTTTTCTCAATTTGCCCAAAAATAGCACATAATTATCCACAGGGGAAAGATTAATTTATTGCAAGCGGTGGTTACATGAGGACATTCAGGGGCTAATCTTTGGTATCTTTTTATCAATTTTACCACATGCTAATTACAGGACGGTTGTAGTTAGATACTGTTGCTCCTTTTGTTTTACCGTGGTGTCTCCAGTAGTTTGCCAATATATGTAGGAAATATTTTTCTGAGTACTTTTAGTCTGAAAAGTCAGTTTTTGACATCAGAGTTAATTCTGCTAAATCTTTTTCTCAGGATTTTAATTGTGCCTCTTAGTCTCTTGCCATTTTCAGGTGTTCTTTTGTATAGGACCAGTTTTCCTGAGAACTGATTAAGATTGGCCTATTGCTGGTCTTCTGAAATTCTATAATGTGTCTTGTTCTAGGCCCTGGGTAGATTGGGTCTGTTCTCCAGACTCTTCCTGTTAGGGGCCATTATCTCCTGCTTAACTTCTATCTGTTCTTGGGCCTTTGGTTTCATTCTCTTGGATGTTCCTTACCATTCCTTTTTTGTTTAAACTTCTAAGAGAAAAGACTTTAATATCTTCAAATTTGTGTTGGTTTTATTTTTACTGACTTCAAATACTCTTCCTTGGGTGTTTGGGGACGTATTTAATCTCTTTTCACCCTGTGCATTGTTTATGCTTTCTTTTCTTTTTTTACCCTCTCAGTCTGTTTATCTTTTATATAGATGAAGAGGATTGCTCTTGTTGATGAGGCTGTAGTTCCAGATACATTGATGGGAATGAGCAGATACCTATCTGCCTTTTAATCTTAACTTTTTTTTTATTTTATTCTTTGAAGTAGGCTCCACGTCCAGTGTGGGCCTTGAGCTCATGACCTTGAGATTGAGAGTCAGATGCTCTACAGACTGAGCCAGCCAGATGTCCGGAAAGTAACCTTTTTTGGAGGGTGGGAAGGGTTGGTAGTAGTACACTCTTTCTAATGCTACTTGCCAGGCTTTAGGTGTCCTTTCTAGTCATTTACTTTAGGTTTTGATTTTCTTCATTGATTATTCAGTTTCCTCTCCAGAGTGTCCTTATAGCTTCTCTTTATTATATCTTTAATGGAGATTCAGTTGAAAATGGCAAATGTTCATTGTTCTTAATTTCACTGGAAAGTACTGATTTATTTCATTTTTTTATTTTTATTTTTTTTTGGAAAGTACTATTTTAAAGGACGTTTTTATGCTTAATGTTTAAAAAAAATTGATAGAATTCCAAAACGCTTAACCTGCGCACAAATTTGAATAAGTTACTTGTGTTAAATAGTGCCACAGAGTGCTATCAAGAAGTAAATATATTAAAGTTGAATCATTCCTTCCCTAGATAAACTGTTTCATATCACAGTATGTGATGATATAGGAGTATATTAGGAAATTAGTTACTTAAAATGTTCAGAAGTAGAAGTATACTTGGATTATAATGTCTTAAAATATAGGTCTGATATGTTTATAATTGGAGTCACTTTCTGTAGAATTTAACCTTTGACTTTAGCTGATGGGTAATTAAGTAACAGGAAAACCAAAAGGACTATTCTGCATTCTAAGAGAAAGCCAGTTGGCCTTACTGGTGGTCTTGTTCTTGCATGTTAAATAAAGCTAATCAGATCCATCTTTGAAAAAGTTTACAGTGTGCCTCCAGTCACTAGTAGTCTTGTAACTAGACCTCAGCCAACTAATAAATATGGTAATCTGAAAATTGAACTCCTAGTCTTGTGCCTAGAAATTCCTCATTAAAAAATGTTTTGTGCTGTGTAAACTGCTAAGTGAGATTGGCTATACTTAGATCAATATTGGTTTAATTGCTAAAAAAAAATATATATATATATATATATACATAAGGTACTTAGGGATAACTAAAAAAAGTTCAAAGCATATTTTGTTTTCTAGGACTAATAAGGGAAATACATAATTCTTTTCCTTTGTCCCTAGTACTAATTTTCAAAATTTATTTAGAGAATGAGCCAGCATGGGGCAGGGGGAGAGAAAGAATCTCAAGCAGACTCCCCACTGAGCAAGTGAGCCTGAGAAGGGAATTGATCTCAAGACCCTCAGATGACCTGAGGTGAAATCAGGAGCCAGCCCCACTTAACTTACTGAGCCACGCAGGTGGCTTCTAATCTGGATTCATAGTGATAGAGGGACCTCTGAGAGAATATTCTTAATTTGAGGGATTTATAATAGATGTACCGTACCAAGAATAATTCCTTTTTTAGAGTACTTTTTGATGGAATAATTGTATTTCCCTTAAGCCAGTCTGCTGAAGATGAATGTTTAATGGCTTAGTTCTTGGCAATACCATTCACTATTTTTGCAGGCACTTTAAAATCCCCACTTGTATTACTTCTGTACCTGACTTGAAAAACAAATATTTTAATATTTTCATTTACCAATTTTCAGAATGCTGGGTTGATGTTCTAGCAACTTATTGAAACTAGTGAGTTTTAAGTATCCTGAATTCAAGATTTTTATGTATTTTTTTTTCTTTTACCTTTTTTTTGGTGGATGGAATCCCCTTTTAACTTGTTTCTACTATCACAGATTCCAGTACAATAGCTTTTTGCTTTCTAGTGTGAGAAAATGTTCCAGGTTCATCTTCATTTTCTTTGTCAGACCTGGGATGATACATTTCTTTTTAAAAAAAGAATGGAGATCCCTAGGTGGCGCAGCGGTTTGGCGCCTGCCTTTGGCCCAGGGCGTGATCCTGGAGACCCGGGATTGAATCCCACATCGGGCTCCCGGTGCATGGAGCCTGCTTCTCCCTCTGCCTATGTCTCTGCGCCTCTCTCTCTCTCTGTGACTATCATAAATAAATAAAATAAAAATTAAAAAAAAATAAAAGAAGAATGGCAGGGGTGCCTGGCTGGTTCAGTTAATTGTGTCTGAGTTGTGAGTCATGGTCTTGGAGTCCTGGGATCAAATTCCAAGTGAGGCTCAGCAGGGAGTCTGCTTGCTTCTCCCTCTCCCTCTGTCCCTCCTCTCCATTTATGCTTCCTCTCTTAAAATATTTTAAGATAAGAAAGAATGGCAGTTAGAACCATCTGGGTAAGTGGTGCTCAATTAGCTTAACTTTTAGACCCTTTGGAAAAGCAATAGGGGAATTGTTAGCATTTGGTGGGCAGTGATGGATGGCACTTGTTGGGTAACTGGGGGAAGCTTCTCTCATTTGGTATCTTAATCATGTAAGGTTGCGCTACCTTAGTTTCAACCACAAGTTAATGAGGCCATTTGGGGAGAGCAGATCCAGCTGTCTAAATGGATCCATGCAAATACTAGGTTTATAGTGTCACAAAGCTGCAGAAACTACTGTGTGGTCTTGACAGCCAGTAGCTTAATGAGGGGAGAGAAACAGTCTAAGGTGTGGGGCTTCTGTTTGAAATGTTCAAGTGAAGTTGAGGGTCACATACACTGAACCTCTGAATAAAAGGTAGTGGTCTGGGCTCTGGAGATAAAGGGTTAGAGGTGTTTGTTTGTTTTTTTTTTTTTTTTTTTTTTTTTTTTTAAATTTCAGTATAGCTAATGATAAAAGGGTTAATGTTACTTCAGAAAGTCCAAGGCTACCTTCCAGGCAGTTCTTGCTTGCCAAAGAGCCAGTTGCTCCCTGACTCATGAGTTTGGCAGTGGAGGTCCTGTTTAATGCTGTGAAAGTTCTAAGAGCTGGTTTTGAGAAAAATTGAGAGCCTCGTCTGCCTAAGGGTCTGTCTACTCTTATTAAAATCTACTTTGTCCTGCTGAAGGCTTGAGGTTCCATCTGTCCTGTGTTCTTAGGCTGGAGGTTCTCCTATCTTTCTGTATCCAAAATACTTGTATTCTACAGACTCCCTGAATCTTAAACTGGAGAGAATTGGAAAATACATGTCAGATTGAGGTGCTAATTCACTTTCACACTTGAAAAAGATAGGAGTGACCTAAAACATTTAAATATATACTGTGTCCCAGGGTTCTGAGTATTTAGGATTAGTCAGTGAGCAAAACAGCTGCCCTGCGGGGCTTACATCCCATTGCACTAGCAGTCAGTATACATTCTTGACTCCCTTTAAAGTTTTAGTTCCACTCAAGACAATGGTTTACAGTCTTGGGAAATGGCAAGTTCACTAGCTTACAGCTAGGAATTACATCCAATTCCACACAGCCATCCAGCCCAAACTACAGTTGCCTGGACTGGTAATAAACTCCTTGGCCTCCCTACTGCCACAGTTTGAGCATTCCTATTCACTTTTTACTTTAGCACCTGTGGTAAGCTTTTGAAAAGCAAACTCCAGGTTGCTTGGGTGGCTGTCCCATAAGCATCTGTCTTTGGCTCTGGCCCTCAGGTCCCAATCCTGAGGTCCTGGTGTCCAGCTTCTCCTCCCTCTGCTGCTCCCCCTGCTTTTATGCTCGCTCTCTAATAAATGAATAAAATCTTTAAAAAAAACATTATTTTGAGTTAGTTTCAAGGTCTGACAGACTAGTTGCCGCACAAATTAGTATATCCACACTGTTAGGTACTACTTGGCAATAAACTGATAAAAGCAACAACAAATGAGGATGAATCTCAGAAACATGCTGAATAAAAAGCTGGACACAAAGTAGTAGCTAACACCTGGTTCAATTTATGTTACTCTAGAATCTAGTGCCAACAAATTGTTAGTTTGGGACCAGGGATAGGTGGTGGGAAGGATGCCTTAGAAAGGTGTTTACATAGATCTGTGACAAACTCGGAGCACACTTAAAACTGACTTAAAAACTGTACATAGTGCCCTTTAAAAGGGCCTTTAGCTACCTATTGGCCTCCGAGAGTCTATGAGGCATGATCAAGCATTTGCCTGTTTTCACCCTGAACTGCCACCTGTCCCTGGCTAATCCTGCCTTTTTCTACTTGTAGGCACTTGATGTCTTTTGCTTGCAGTATTCCTTTGTGTGGCTATTTCTCACCTTTGCTGTATAGTCTAAGTATTTACTAAGAGGTGTTCTCTGTCCCATTGGTATTATTCAAAGCACCCGATAAGCTAGAATTCATCTCTTGACTGCACTTACTACGCATTTTCCCTAAAAGTGAAGTGGCTTGTTTTAGAATAGGACCTTGTCTTACCCCTGGCCTGACAGGATTGATACATTGTCGAATCAATGAGAAATAACCACCAGATTAGTGGTACATACTGTTCTATGAATGTCAAGTTCTAGTAGGAAAACCTTAAAGGAAATCATATATATACAGTAAGTAAATACGTATGTGGAAACTAGACTTGAGGTTTAAATAGAAGATATGACCTAAGTGACTGGATTTGGAAGTCCAGACATCCTGGTTGGACACCTCTTCTACTATTAACTTGAGAAGGATCCTGCCTCCCTACTTGATGAAATTGTAAAGAAAAGTGAAAATCTGAGAATCATAATTATGATTATTAATAATCGCTAAAACTTTTTGGAGCCTTCATTATGTGCCAGACTCTGACCTCATTCAGTAACTGAAAACTCTTGAGTTGTTACTGTTCTTAGCCATGGTTTGTAGATGGAGAAGCAGAGTGTCAGACTGCTACTTGCTGGAATTTATACGTCAATGTTGGAGGCAATATTCAAATCCAGGATTTCTGACTCTTGAATTCATGCTCTTACTCAGAACTGTTCTCTTGACTGGACTTTTTTGGTCAGTCTTATTTGGATGATAGTCTTATTTGTGAGGTTGACAAGATACACTTTATCTGAACATTGAAAAACTTGGAAGCATTTTAATGTTAGAACATAGTCATATACCCATTCCATATAAAAGTAATAGTAATAGTATGGCAAGACCAATCCTGGCAATGAGAATGTTCTGAGTATATTCAGCACACAGGAGCTTTCCCGGTCACCCAGCATCTAGTATTCAGAAGGTTTTTTCTACTCTTGTGTCCAATGGTGAAACAGGCGGCCTGTTTAAGAGCCTCAACTTTGAAAGGGAACCTCAAGAGCTTGCAGGGAGGGCTGGTACTTGGAACAGTTATTTCCTGTTTGACAGCAGCTACCTCAGTTTATGCTCTAGTGAAATAGGGTTATCAACCGCTGCCAGTGACACCAGGTTTTTAACCAAATAGTATGGATTCCTGAATTTTGCTTTTTGAGTTTCTTTCCAAATATGACTTCTCTGTTAGCATCAGGTCAAAGGACAACCTGACTGACTGTTGGAGCTCTAGAGAGTGAAGCAGTTGCATATGACAAGAACACCTACATTTTGAAGTTGGTAGAAAGGACGGGAGTGATGCCTCTGAAGCGGGGAAAGGTGATGAGAAGAGATGTGCTCATCGGAGTCCTGGTTAAAGGAACTAAACTGCTTATTCCAACGGAAGCAAATCTCAGCCGGAGATTTGGGCCTAGAGGGCCTAGTGGCCGGAGGAGGGCCTAGAGTGGTCGCTGACCAGAGTCCTGCTGGTTGCTCCCCTTAGCCCTCCCGGGCTGGTGTTGCAGCGACGCCCCGAGGCCGCTAGGTGGCAGCCGCGCGTTTCCAAAGCTGGCTCGCCTACCCGAGAGCCCAGCTGGGAGCCGGAGAACGGACCCGAGAGCTCCGGAGGGGGGTGAGGGAGAGAAGTCCTGGAGACCCCCTCCCCCCGCAGCGGCAAGCACAGAGATCAGCAGGCGTCTCGTTTAGAGTGCCTGCCGTCCGAGAGGGCATCTGGGACACTCCACGGTCCTGCGTGGACTCACAGGGCGGGCTAAAGCGAACTCCCGTAGACGGAGCCGCCCCGGGGGCTGGGCCTGACCCGCCCCCTCCGGGCTCCACGCTCGAGCGCTAGTGGGTGTGAGTGAGTGCTGGCAGCGACTGTGGATGAGTGAGGACGCTCCGCGCCTAACTGCGTTCTTGGGGACGCCGCCTTCCCAGTTGGGGCATTACTGCGCCCGGGCGCAGAGCTCCGACGGCTTCGGCGCTCACCAGCTCACCAGCCTCGCGGGCTCTGCCCCTTCGGAGCTGCCGGTCCCGTCGCCGAGAGTCTGAGCGCCTCCCTCCAACCCCGAGCCGCCAGGAGGAGGAGGAGGAGGAGGAGGAGGAGGAGGAGGAGGAGGAGGAGGAGGAGGAGGCAGTGGAGAGGCCGCGGCAGGCAGGCAAGCAGGCTGGGCCGCCTTTGATGTGGGCGCGGCGCACCCAGCCGAGCTGAGCGCCCGTCCGGCCGCGCCCCGAGGGGGGAGCCCCCGGGCCCCGCATCCTCATTGTGCCGACTCGGGCCCGGGCCCGCCCCCGGCCCCCCGCCCCCTCGCCGCCCGCGCGTAGAAAACGCCCCGGCCGCCGCCAGCGGTGGGAGGCGGCGATGCGCACGGCCGGAGAGACGCGGAGGAGGAGACATGAGCCGGCGGGCGCCCAGACGGTGCGGCCGTGACGCGTTCCTGCGGCAGCCTCGCGCCCCGGCCCTGGAGCGCTGACCTCTGGCCCCGCACAGCCCCGCGCCCCGGCCGGAGATCGCGCCCCAGCTCGCAGCCCCGCCGCGCATGCTGCCCCCGGAGTGACCCGAGCAGCCGCCCTCCCGCGGACGCCCGGACGGACGGCCGGCCGGTCAGCAGTGAGCGAGCTTCCTCGCACCAGCCGGGCGCCTCCTGCACCGCGGCGGCCGCCCCGTAGCCCCCGCGCCAGCCCGGAGGGCGCAGCGCTCGGGAGGAGCCGCGCGGGGCGCTGATGCCGCAGGGCGCGCCGCGGAGCGCCCCGGAGCAGCAGAGTCTGCAGCAGCAGCAGCCGGCGAGGAGGGAGCAGCAGCAGCGGCGGCGGCGGCGGCGGCGGCGGCGGAGGCGCCCGGTCCCGGCCGCGCGGAGCGGACATGTGCAGGCTGGGCTAGGAGCCGCCGCCTCCCCCCCGCCCAGCGATGTATTCAGCGCCCTCCGCCTGCACTTGCCTGTAAGCGCCCGCGCGCGGGGCTGCCTACCCTGCCTGGCCGTCTGTCCGTGTGCCTGTGACTGTCTGCCCGCCCGGCCGTTCGTCTGACTTTCCGACTGCGTATCCGTCTGTCTGTACGCGCGCCCCCCTCCTTCAAGTCCCACTGACCACCTCTCCATCTCTCTCCCGCAGGTGTTTACACTTCCTGCTGCTGTGCTTCCAGGTACAGGTACGTAGGGTCCCGACTCTGGCCTCCCCCTGCCCCTGCCTCGCGGTACAGGTCGACCCCCCTCCCCTGGGCCGCGCCCCCTCCCTGTGCCCCACCCCTACTGGGCGCCGAGCCCAGTGCACCTGTTCCCAGGGCGCCAAAGGGCGGCTCCGCGCGCGCCCTGCGCCGGCGGGGGACCAGCCAAGGGCCGGGGGCTCTGCTGCAGGGCTCCGACTGGCGCGGCCCCTGTCGGCCTGGGCTGGGAAGAGATCCGTGGAGCCAGCGGACTCAGCCGCTGCAGTGTGCCCGGCTCCAAGCGCCTTGCCTGCCCACAACCGGCGAGGAGTTGCGACCTGGGGTTTTTTTCTGCCAACCGTCCCTTAATATCTCCGCTCGCTCTTCCAAACAAAAAGGCTCCTTTGAGCCGAATGGGTTTGGAGTCCAGGGAGAAAGCTTCAGTTGTAAATTACTCTGTGGTTTCAAAGGCGTTTGCAGGGGAGAGACGGAGAGAGACAGAGACGGGGCGAGAGACGGGTCTAGGAGAGACCAGATGAGAGGTAGCAGAGACGGGCGCTTGGGCTGAGGGGCCCGTTGCCCACGAAGCCGCTCCGGAATGGGCCACGCTCCGCACACCCTCGCCCAAGGTGGTGCAGCCCTCGGCTGGTTCCCCGCCTTGCTCCCCGCTCGCTCGCTCTCTGTGAATCAGAAGAGGGCTTGGCGCTCAGCCTGGAAAGCACTTGCTAAAATCTGATCTGTTACTTCAGCAGCTTTCAGACTCGGGAAGGTCTTGGCACGCAGACAGTTGGAACGCTCTGGCTTCCAAAGCCGTGGAAATGAAGGAAGGGGCGGGGGGCAGAGAAAGAGAAGAGGGAAAGGAGGGAGAGACTTCAGACCCGATTAGAACCAGACCAGGGCTGCCTCAGCATGGGGGGGGGGGCTGCAAAGGGAAGGGGAATAGGAAGTGCCAGCTGCCCTAGCCCCCCACCCACCTAGAGCTGCAGGGGAGGGGCCTTAGGAGGAGCTGGATTGGGGCCAAAAGAGATTATCTGCCCCTTCCCCCTCTGAGTTGAAGGCAGGTGTCCTCTCGGGGTTAGAGAGGATGCTTAGGTTTTAGCTTTTTGGGCTCCAGTGGTGCCCCCAAAAGAGCCTTGAGCAGGAAAGACGGTGACTTTCCCAGCTTTATGGCATAAGGAATGTTGTGTGTGTTGAGTACTGTTGAGACTCCGCAGCCTCTTTCAGTGTTTGGTGTGGTGGTGGGTCTGCTTACTTCTCCTTCCACTCCTGGGAGAGGTTCGTTAACCATCATTGGGCTGGGGGAAGCTAGTTGGGGCTGGGGGCTGTGAGGATGGATGGATGGACGGACGGACGGACGGACGGACTGATGGCTTCTTTCCACCAGCCTTGGCCAGGCTGAGGTCCCCAGTGACTCCTTGAATCAATATAACTGAAGTCAGTAACTTAAAACTGGCTGTTTGCCAAAGCAGATGTGACCCTGTGGTGGTGGGGGCAGGGGTGGGGAATGGCCGGTGTCAGAGAGAGAGGCCAGTGCCAGGCATGGCCTGTCTGATTTGCAGCTGAGTCCCCAAGCAGAGGGCAGGCCCCCGGGGTCACTCCAGGGGATCTGCTTGCCTGACCTGGGTGAGAGCTCTTTTTCCCCATGTGTTACACCTGGGGATGGGGGAATGCTGTGATGGGCATGGAGGTAGAGAGATCTGTGATTGTGTTGCTCTAGCCTCCTGATGCCTGCTACCTCTTCTTCCTTCAAGCAGAGCCCAGGAGGGGTTGCTGCATTGCCTTGTGTTCTCTAGGGAAGCATGAGGAAGAGAACCTGGACTTTGCATCCCACTTCTATCTTCTGGCCAGAGCTAGGCTAGAACTAGCCTCCCAGGAAAGAGCTGAGTGGTCCATCTGGGTTAGGACTTTAAGCAGGTGATGGAGCCTTCTCTCCCCCTCCTCTTACCTCTTCTTTTCTTTTCAGCCTTTCCCCACCTAAACTGCCATGAGATGGTAAATACCATTAAATATATTAATATTTAACCCACAGTCCATGCACCCATAGAGTATCTAAGGATGGGATTATGGAGAAGGCAGGTTCCTGATATGTTACGTCAAAATGGTGCCCTGATTGCTCATGTTGTGGAGAGGGCTCTCAGCTCCCCCACCGATTTTCAAAAGCACCTATGATTCCTAAAAGATAAAGAAATGGCAGCCTCAGGTGCCCATTCTTGCCCTAGGAACAAAGGTAGAGTGGCCATTAGAGGTAGAGGTGAAGGGTAGGCCTCAAGTGTTGGTGGCTGGGAGTGTGAAGTCTGCTCCTTGCAGAGGTGGCCTTGGGCAGGCATAGGGAGACCAGCCACTTCTCTGCCAGGGTACGCTTAGAGAGGGTGACAGGAGCTCCCTGGGTGAGCAGGGGCTGGGGAGGCCTCCCTGCATGGCGGGAAGGGCTCAGAGCTGTGGAGTCTGGTGGACTGGGCTGGAGCCCCAGCTTCATCTTGCCTCCGTGAGTCTTAGCTACGTCATTGGTGAAATGGGTGGCCTTGAGGCTGATGTGATACATGATAGGTGTGGAAGAAGGTTTAGAAATTTTCATTCACCTGGGAGGGTGCTTTGTTCTGCTGAGAAATAGATATACCTGTGCCCTTCCCATCCTTACCTCCCTGGTTTGGGGGACTGCTCCATTCTTAGCAATGGAGTTTCTGGGCTCCTCCTTTCTTCCCATCCATCAGCCCTCAGGTCCAGAATGTGCCCCCACCTCCAGCCACATTTTTGCGAGCGCACAACAGTCAATGCCAGACACTGCCTTCCCCTTGGGCCCCTCATGTGGTGAGCCCCGCCTTCTCCCCCCACCCCGCCCCTGCTGGCCACCCCAGGAAGCAGGAAGCTGGGAATTTAATAAAATCCCTTCTCCACACGACTTGGGACACTGCGGATAGCTCAAATCGGAAGAATTTTAAAAATTTCCGAGGGGAGCAGGCGGCGTGACCAGTAAATTGCTTTTCTGCACTTGGCTGAGCGCTGACAATGACACCGGGCTGGGCCTTTCACGCAGCTTGGCCGGCACCTGCCTGACATTGTTCCTACCGCCAGGCTCTGCTAGGTCCTGGCCTTCCCCAGACAGGCCAGGCTTGAGGCGATCCAGGGAAGGGGGGCTTCTACCACCCACCCCTTGTCCTCCCAAGCTCCACTTCCTCTCCCACTGCACGGTGTGTTCAAGTTTTGAAGTTTCCTTCCACGCCCCCCATTGGCCTGGCCACCCCCCACATCTGGCTTCCTCAGTGAGGCTTAGAATCTCTCTTCTGGTTGGTTAGAATAGGAAAGCCAGAGACCAAGTGCTTTGGGACACAAGGAGGATGGGAAGCTGTCTATTGGGTAGCATTTTTAACTTCTTAAAATGGGGTGACATCATCCATCTATCTGTCCAGTCAGGTGTCCCTTCAACAAATACTTGCTAGAAACCTGCTTCATGGGCAGCCTGGTGTGGCTCAGCGGTTTAGAGCTGCTATTAGCCCAGGGTGTGATCCTGGAGTACCGGGATCGAGTCCCATGTCAGGCTCCCTGCATGGAGCCTGTTTCTCCCTCTGCCTGTGTCTGTGCCTCTCTCTCTCTCTCTCTCTCTCTCTCTCTGTGTCTCTCATGAATAAACAAATAAAATCTTAAAAAAGAAAGAAAAAGAAAGAAAGAAAGGAAAGAAAGGAAGGAAGGAAGGAAGGAAGGAAGGAAGGAAGAAAGAAAGAAAGAAAGAAAGAAAGAAAGAAAGAAAGAAAGAAAGAAACCTGCTTCATGCTGGCCCTGAGAACAAGACTAGTCAGTTCCTGGCCTCAAGATGCTCCCATTCTAGAAGGGAGAGTGCCAGATAAACCTGAGTTTCTGTGATCCTACCTACCTCCTGAGAAATACAGGGGCCTTGCACGTCCTGCTTTTGTCCAACTAAGCAAGACCCCAAGGCTCTTGCATCTGGAAGCTTGTTTCCTTCTTCCTATCATTCTTCCTCTTGAAGTAGGAGGGGTAATATTCTTACTTCACAGTTGGAGAAACTGAGGCACAGAGTGGAGAAGGAATTTGCTCAAGGACAATGCTAAGACTCAAGACTCTGGATTCAAGATCTTGTGTTCTTTCCATGACCCCAGACAGAGTTTTTCAGGAAGAACACTGAAATTATTCAGAAAGAATACTGGTGGGGAAATGGAGTTCCAAGAGGCATGCTAGGGGTTCTCAGTGAGAGCTTCCCTTGGATTCTCACTGCTAGGGTCCCCATGGTGCAGATGGTCAGAGCCTGGATAGGTGTCTCTGCTGACACTCCTGACTCGGAGTCTACAGGCCCTGATTTCCCTAGAATGTTCTGAATTGAAAGGGTCCCAGAGCCAGGGGTGGTGTTTTGGAGGGTAGGACCTGGGGGATTCGGCACTCTCCTCTCAGCTTCTTTCCTAGTAGCAAAGAGGAGGAAGGAACCCCGCCAGCATTCCTGTAGCCCCAGAGCTGGTTACCCACTCTGAGATAAGGAGGTAGATTGTTAAAATATCTTGTGCTTAGCACCACCAGTTGACACTGGCTTGGGGTAGATCTGAGAGCACATTGGGCCCCTAAAGGGAAATGGAGGGTGCCAGGGAGGAGACTTCCTAGCCTCAGCAGGACCTTCTGGTTCTGACCTCATCCTCTAGCAGGAGAGATATAGGTGTGGGTAATCAGGGTGCAGGCATGTGAGGCTGACAACAATACTTGTAGGCACCACCAGGTGTTGTGTGCTTACTGTGTGACAGGCAGGCACTTTCTCACATCATGGAGGCTAAGCCTCACAACCAGCCTGGAATTAGGGAATTCTGCAGACAAGAAAGTGAGGTTCAGAGGCATGAGATAACCTGCCTCTGGCCACATGGCAAGAGGGAGGCAGAACTGGCTTCAACTCTGGGTCACCTGGCACTAGGCTCCAGGCTTATTAAACAGCAGTATGAGGGATCTGGAGTGTGCCATCCTGGTTCCAGTTGTCGCACTGCCATATCTTTGCTGTATGACATTGAGCAAGT